GGGCTGCACATCAGTGGGGGCTGCAGATGGGGGGCTGTGGATCAGGGGGGCTGCACATCAGGAGGGCTGCACATTGGGGGCCGTGGCTCAGTGGTTGAGCATGGACCTATGAACCAGGAGGTCAGGGTTCAATTCCCTGTCAGGGCACAGGCCCGGGTTGTGGGCTCCATCCCTATTGTGGGGCGTGCAGGAGGCAGTGGATCAATGATTTTCTCTCATCATTGAAGTTTCTATCTCTCTTTCCCTCTCCCTTCCTCTCTGAAATCAATAAAATACTTAAAAAGGAAAGAGTAGACAAATCAATAGTTTTGGGTATGTTACGTTACTAACTTTTCTAAATTGTGGAAAGATGTATAGAACACAAAAACCTGCCACTGGAGTCATTTATAAGGGCACGTCTCTCAATGGCATTAAGTACAATGTTGGGCAACCATCACCGCAATCCAGTCCCAAAATCTTTTCATCACCCAGACAGAAACCCCACACCGTGAAGCAATGACTCCCGCTCCCCTCCCCTGGCCCCTGCAACCTCCAGTCTACTCCCTGCCTCGCGCGTCTGCCAGTCCCGGAGACCTCACAGCACCCGTCCTTTGGGGTCTGCTCATTTCATTCAGCGAATGTCTGTAAGGCTCGCCCACGCTTAGCCGGGGGCAGAACGTCAGTCCTTTTCACGGCTGAGTAATATTCCCCCCTGTGGGTGGACCACGTGTGTCTACCCGTCCACAGCCAACGGACATCTGGGCTGTCTCCGCCTCTCTGCTGTCATGGAGAACACGCCATGAACATTGGTGGACAAGGATATTTTCTTTTTCTTTTTAAAATATATTTGTATTGATTTCAGAGAGGAAGGGAGAGGGAGAGAGAGAGAGAGAAACATCAATGATGAGAGAGAGTCATTGATTGGCTGCCTCCTGCATGCCCCCCACTGGAGATTGAGCCCGCAACCTGGGCATGTGCCCTTGACTGGAATGGAACCCGGGACCCTTCAGTCTGCAGGCCGACGCTCCATCCACTGAGCCACACCAGCCAGGGCGACAAGGATATTTTCATTTCCTTCCCACGTCGGTTGCGTCTGAGGCTTCCAGGTGATTTATGGGGGTGGGGACCAGGGTGTACCCTCCATTTCCTCCCTCTGACCCGCAGTTCCACTCCGGGGAACTTATTTTAAAGAAATCATCATGCCCTGACTGGTTTGGCTCAGTGGATAGAGCGTCGGCCTGCGGACTGAAGGGTCCCGGGTTTGATTCCAGTCAAGGGCATGTACCTTGGTTTCGGGCACATCCCCAGTAGGAGGTGTCATGCAGGGGACATGGCACTTCAGACAGAGGGGAGAGCATAAGTAAAAAGAGTAAAAACAGAGGAGAGGACAGCACCGTGATGGCGAACCTTTTGAGCTCGGCATGTCAGCATTTTGGAAAACCCTAACTTAACTCTGGTGCCGTGTCACATATAGAAATTTTTTGATATTTGCAACCATAGTAAAACAAAGACTTATATTTTTGATATTTATTTTATATATTTAAATGCCATTTAACAAAGAAAAATCAACCAAAAAAATGAGTTCGCGTGTCACCTCTGACACGCGTGTCATAGGTTCGCCATCACTGCTCTAGCTGCTCCTTCCAGACTGTTCATTATTCCCAGCTTCTCCACGTGACTCTATCTATCTATCTATAAAGCCAGCGACCAGAACTCGGTAACGACTGGAACGACCAGTTGCTATGTTGCCCACTGCGGCCAGTGAACTGGCCCGATGGGGGGGTGAGGTTGGCCAGCCAACCTCCTGCGGCCCCTCCCCCTAGCCAGCCCCGCCCCTCATAGGCCTCTCCCGCCCTGATCGAGGGCAGGGCCAGCTGGCCAATCTCCCGCCATCTCCTGCTCCCGACAGGCCTGGCCCTGTTCCGTCCTGATTGGGGCCAGGCCGGCTGGACCCCACCTGTGCACGAATTCGTGCACTGGGCATCTAGTTATGTTTATAAAATTAAAAACCAAACAGTTAAACCAAAAAACAAGTCTCTCCCCTCCAGAAACGAACCAGTGACCACAGGGAGCTGTCACAGACTGCCCGCCGCCTGGACCGGCTCGGTCCTTCGGATCGGACACGGTGGTTGTGGCTCTGTGGTCAGAGCTCTGTGGTCAGGGCTCTGTGGTCAGGGGCTCAGGGCGTGGAGGAGGAGCCACGCCCCTCCCGGGCACAGGAGCTGCAGCCTTGCCCAGCCCCAGGCCGTCCAGGCCCCTCAGGCGGCAGCACCACACAGCTCCAACCAAAGATGCTCCTGACCCCATGACCCTTCTGGCTGCGGGTCACGGAGCCGGGATACACACCTGGGCAGGCACCGAAGTGCAGGAGAACCCAGCCCTTCCCAGAAGCCTGCCACCCCCCCCACCCCGCCACTCCCCAACCTACCC